TGATAATATCAACATGGGCCAGTGAAGCAACGTCCTCCACAACTAGACTGAAGAACAAAAGGACAGCAACTTGTCTGTTCCCCTTCCCCGATTCTCCAACACTGTTCCCTCCCCAATTCCAATAAAATCTTTTAAAAATAATAATAATAAATAAACTGATATAATTTCTTATCAAATTAGCAAAAATCCAAAAGTCTGATATACTCTATTGACAAAGCTGTAAGGAAACAAGGATTCTCATACATTATTAAATGGGAACAGAAATGGTTACAACCTCTGTGGAGGGCAAAATGACAATAGCTAGCAAAACTGCATCTGCATTTACACAAGTACTTTGCCCACAATCGCACTTCCAGAAATTTATTCCAAAGATATACTTGCAAAATACTATTTGTAATAGCAAAATAAATTTAAAAATGTCGATCAATAGGAAATGTTTGAATAAACCATGGTACAACTACATGATGAAGTACTATGCAGCTATTACATAGTTGTAAAATGGCATAAGGAGATATATACACTGCCACAGTGTGAATGAAAAAGTAAGGTGCAGAAAGAACAGTGTAAATAAGATGTTACTTTTCATCCAGAAAGACAGATAAAAATGTGTTTGTGTTTACTTACATTTTAAAAAGAAAAAATAATCCAAAAACTAATAAAAATGATTACTTATAGGGAGAGGAAGAGAACAGTGAGAAAGCACAGTCTTGGAGGCTAGACTTTTCTGAATGTAATTTGTTTTATAGGTTTGTTTGGAACCATAAAAATGTTTTTTTTATAATTATAGAAAAAAAATTAATTCAAAACGAAAAAAGGATGTAAAATGTAGGGTCAGAAAGATGAATCCTACTTAGCCAACATACATGTCATCAATGTTATTCTCTCAAAGTTACAGAAGTATATTAAGTTCAATGGATTCCAATTCTTATTTTACAAATTTGCATATTCATTTATCAAGTGCCTTAAAATTCACATTATATTCTGTTTTAAAAAATCCTACATAAGGTATAACTTACTTACAAAGAGACCCAGAATGAAATCACTCTTCCAATTTTTTACTTTTGACTACAGTAACTAAAATACACTTGTTTCCTTCCAGATTCTAGAAAAATGTAATCCAGTCTGCAAGTTAACTGACAGTTTGACAAAATCAATGTATCAAGTGAAATTAGTTCACTTCTAATTCGTCTGGAATTTCTCCTACTGTATTAGGTGACAGAGCAGTAGAGTATGAATAGGATTTGCCAAGAATAATTTAGTAAGATAAAGAACTGATCTCTGAATTATCACATAATTAACCTTTCAAATTAGTTTTAATAAATATAAATAGTGTTGAGGAAGCTGTAGTCTCTAAACTAGAACAAAGCTAAATATTTAATAATGGATAATCTTTAATTCCTATTAAGTATCCAGCACTTATATTATTTCCAATCCTCCCTGGTAGATGGTATTGTTACATTTTTTCAGAGAAAAAAGCTGTGGCCTTAGTAAAGATAGGAAAACTCAAAGTCAATTAGTGTATGTCTGAGACAAAATACGAAGAAGCCATGACTTTCCAATGCTTACTCTTTCCATTAGCTATATTAAAAATAGAGTTTACCACAATCAAAACATTATCAAGAAAGACATTGGTTGAGCTGATTGTTTATTAATGATTCAAAAACTTTGATGGAAAAATATTGTTTCCTCTTCAACACAATCAAAATTAAACTGTTTTGGTTTTTTTCTTTTATTTATTTATTTATTTTAATTGGGGAATTTGGGGAGGGGAAGAGTGTTGGGGTATTGGGGAGGAGGACCAGCCAAGATGCTGTTCTTCAACCTTCAACAGTCGCCATCTGGCTTCCCGTCAGCAGCTTATGGCCTCTAAGCTCAAGGGGCTGTGTTCAATCTTAGTTGTAGGTGGGCGTGCCACCACCATCCCATGCGGAAGTCCAACCAGCAGCCTT